TCGCGCTGCCTCGTGGTTGCGGGCTTGCAGGGGCGCCTGCGCGTCTCCTCAGGGCCGAGCTTGACCTCCAGCTTCTCCTTCTTCTCCAACTTTGGGGAGCCCTTCTTGTCCTCCACCTCGACCTTCACGTCGTTCGGCTCGACCAAGAGCGCGGCCTTCTTGTCGTCAAACTTCTTGTCCTCAAGGCTCGTCTCGGGTTTGCTGGCGCCCTCCCCCAGCGCGGTGATTCCGTCTCCCTCGCCGACTCGTCGCCCTTCGCCCACTTGCCGACGCTCTCGTCGTCCTACCGCTCGGCGACAAGCCGACGATCGTCGCTGTCCGACTCGGCCATGGGGCGCTGCGTCTCGGCCATGTTGCGCTGCGTCCTCAGCTGGCTTAGAATGCTTGAGCCTAAATTGGCCACGACCTGTTGTTGTTCGTGTTGCTGTTCTTGTTTGTCTCGTTGCTTTTGCTATTCTTGTTTGTCTTGTTGCTGTTTTGCGAGCGTGCGGGTGTGCAGCTGTTGTTGGTTATCATTGCTGTTTGTCTGTTTGCTGTTATGCCCTGCTGGTGCTGCTGTGCTGCTGTGCAGCTATTGTTGTCGCGGCTGCAGTGATTTGTGCTTGTGGTATTGTGCGTGAGTGTGTGGTAGTGCGTGCGTGTGTGGGAGTGCGGGTGCGTGAGTGCGCGAGGGGGGTGCGAGTGTGCGAGTGTGCGAGTGTGTGAGTGTGTGTGTGTGTGCGTGCGTGCGCGCGTTGGCGCGGCTGCGCGCGCGCGCGTTTGCGCGCGCGCGTGGCCGCCAGGCGTCGAGGCTCAACCCTCGACCCTCGAAACCGGGGCGCGAGATCCTGAAGTCTAAGCGTGGCGATCCTCGGGCCTACGATCCGAGGCGCTCGCAGATGCTCGAGACCAAGATCTCGGATCCTCGGCCCGAGGATGAAGAATCGAGCCTGCTCGGTGGCAGAGTGGGCCCGAAGACAAGCGGGGGGTCGCTGGGCTCAGCCCTCGAGCCTCGGATGTCAAACCCGAGATCTTCCAGTCCAAGCTTGGCGACCCTCGGGTCTAGGACCCGAGGTGCTCGCAGATGCTCGAGACCAAGATCTCGGACCCTCGATCCGAGGATGAAGAATCAAGCCTGCTCGGTGGCAGATTGGGCCCGAAGACAAGCGGGGGATCGCTGGGCTCGGCCATCGAGCCTCAGATGTCGAACCCGAGATCTTCCAGTCCAAGCTTGGCGACCCTCGGGTCTAGGATCCGAGGCGATCGCAGATGCTCGGGGCCAAGATCTCGGATCCTCGATCCGAGGATGGAGGGTCGAGCCTGCGCGGTGGCAGCGTGGGCTCGAAAACGGCGGCGAGGGCGGTCGGCCATCGCCGAAGCTCGGTCCTCGAGCCTCGGATGTCGAACCCGAGATCTTCCAGCCCAAGCTTGGCGACTCTCGGAACTCGGATCCTAGGTGCTCGCAAATGCTCGAGACCAGGATCTCGGACCGTCGATCCGAGGATGGAGGATCGAGCCTGCTTGTTGGCAGCGTGGGCCCGATGACGGCGACAAGGGCGACCCACCATCGCTCGTGCCGGGTCCTCGAGCCTCGGGCGTCGAATTTGAGATCTTCGAGTTGAAGTTTTGCGACCCTCGGATCTAGGACCCAAGGTGCTCGAAGATGCTCAGACTCAAGATCTCGGATCCTCGATCCGAGGATGGAGGGCCGAGCATGCTCGATTGCAGTGTAGAGACCGAGCATCGCCGAGGCTCGATCCTCGATCCTCGGATCGCGGACGCCAGATCTTCGAGCCCGAGCTTGGCGACTCTCGGATCTAGGACCCAGAGCGCCCGAATATGCGCGGACTCAAGATCTCGGGTGATCGATCCGAGGATGGATGATCGAGCTCGCTTGGTTCCCTGATGCACGATCGAGGACCGCTCGGCGAGGGGGCGAGGGGAGGGGAGTAGCGCCCCGCTGTATGGAGCGCCGCTCGCGCGTGCCCGGGCGCTCTCTTGGGGCATGAAAAGCAGATGGGGCTCGAGCGCGCGCCTCGAAACGGCGCCCTCGCAGCGAAATGCATAGTGCGCTTGGCGCGGGGAGCTCGCGCGCTCAGGCGACCACGGGCATGGGCGAGGCGGGCTCTGACTCGGCCTTCGTGTCGGCCTGATTCCTCTCGTCATCGCGCTTGCTCGTGGTGGGCTCGTCGAACTCGGCCTGGATCGACGCACACTTGTTGAAGTGAAGCTTGACGCGGTTCTCGAGAAGCATCTGCTCGCGTTGCTGCTGCTCGACGATTTTCGAGTAGCCCCGCTTTGCGCGCTTGTCGCGGCAGCTCTGCTCGCAAAGCTCGCAGCCCATGCTGGCGGTCTCCTTGATGGACCAGCGTCGCTTGATCATTGCTTGGGTGGTGGCCTTGCGACCCCGTCGGTCAACGTCGACACCATGGAGGTCTAGTTGCACCACTCGGCGCACTCCCGGGCCCTGCTCGGAATCATGTTGGTGAGCATCTCGGCGTTCTCGGCGGGCCCCTCGCCCAAGTGCTCGACGGGCTCGAACTTCCTGTTGGGAGGCAGCGCTATCTCGTGGAGATGGATGAGCTCGGCGGGGATGCGCGGGAGGGCATGCCCGATGCGTTCGGTGTAGGAGCCGTGGGTCAGCTGCTCGACGTTCTCGGCGCCGAGCTCGATGTCTCTATTCTTGGCGAGCTCCTGCAGATTGGCCCCGATGGTCGACGTGAGCCACAAGAGGTCGTCCTTAGGCGGCTCTCCGTGGTTCCCGAAGGCGCCGTGCACGTGATCGCCCCTCTCGACGTAGGTCTTGAAGAACACCGCCACGGCCAGCTCGATGCGCCTCTTGTCCTTCTCGTCGAGGATGCGGCCGTACGCGATGCTCTTGTGGGGCCCGCCTTGGCGCGCCATCTCGAGCGCCGCTGGCTGGGCGCTGCTGGACCACGAGGCGCCCTCGGCCTTGAAGTAGCAGCTCGTTATCCTCGCTGCATCCGTACCTTGCGCGCTCGACTGGCACTGGCGCATCTCGGCGATGGAGGCCTTCACGGCGAGGTAGGACAGCACCTCGAGGATCTTCTCCTCCTGCTTGTCCATGCGCGCGAGAATCTCGTTCGAGTTCGGGCTCGGGGCCGCCGCGCTCTTCCGCGCCTCGACGGGGGCGCTCGCCGCCGCTGCGCGCTCGGCGGGCTGGGCCACCGCTGGTGCTCGCGATGCAGTCAGGGGCAACGATGCGGGGGAATAGGCATTTGAGGGGGGACATCGACCTAGAATCGGCGATACATCGCCGATGCATCGGCGATGCGCGCCCAATGCATCGGCGATGTATCGCCGATTCCAACTCGATGCCCCCCCCCCAATGCCTACGCATCGGCGGGACATCGCCGATGCATAAGCATGCCCATCCCCCCCTATCGCTGCCCCTTGGGCGAAGAGGCCCGACGCCTCGAAGAGGCTCGAAGGCTTGGAGCCCCAGAGACTCGGAAAGCTTGGGCCTGGACAGCTGCGGGGACAAAGGACGAAGAAGAGGAAAAGGAGGAGGAGGAGGAAAGGGCACGAACCGTGTGAGGGGTGCGCTTGACATGTAATTCATTCAACGAACTAACTCCAATGCCCTGCCTGCTCGAAAAACGCATGCACTATCAAAATCCAACCCGGCCCTATGGCCATACCACGCGTTCCTGATTCGGGAACGGCTGGAAACATGAGAATCCCATGGCCCTGTCGCACGGTCATAACGTGGGCGAACTGAACTGGGGAGAACCCCACAACCCTGCCACACGCTCGTGGTTGCGGAAGCTGGTGTGGTGACGCAGCCATGGCCATGCTCAACGTTGTTGATGTTGTTGCTAGTCAACACGATATGATAGCAACTTCGATCCCCGCAACTTTTCCGTGGATTAAAAAGTTCGGCCTCCGCGCTTTCTCCACATTTCAATCCCTGTGGCCGGAGGTATATATACATACATACATATATATACATATGTATACATATACACAAACATTCGGGCGGGTCAAGGGGGGACGACCTTTATTATCGCCCGCGCGCGGTTACCGTTGGGGCCTTGACCTAAGAAACTCTAGGAAGGAACGAAGCCCCTTGCTTCCATAAGTTCAACTTCGGCTTCAAATCGAAAACCAAAGGAAAACGAAAGGCAACAGCACAGTAATTAAGGAACACGGAGCCCCTCCCAAACGACAAGAGTTCCTTCTGCAGCGCCCCGACTGTATGGAGAGAGGTGGTGCGCGAGGAGGAGGTGCAGAAGGAGCTGCAGGAGCAGAGGGCGGAGAGGAAGGGGCAAGGTGGATGGTGCGGGGAGGAGCGAGTTGGACGGAGGAAGCAGGGGTGGGAAGGGGGAGAGGGGAGGGTGACAAGCTAGGTGCACTCGCGTCATATCTGACGTCCTACCCCTTCCTCCCATCCCTTACCATGGCGCTGTTTTTCTCTATCCGCGGACGCGTGTCGTAGCGGACCGTGCTCCGTGCGCGCGCGTGCGTGGTGTGGTGGTGGTGCGTGCGTGCGTGCGTGCGTGTGTGCGTGGTTGTGGTGGTGGTGGTGGTGGTGGTGGTGGTGGTGGTGGTGGTGGTGGTGGTGGTGGTGGTGGTGGTGGTGGTGCGGCGCGGTGGTGGCGGGCGGATGGGCGCGCGAGAAAGAGGCCCGCGCTGGGGCGAAACGCCATCCTGAACGACGGAGGCCAAACACCGATCCAAAAATGAGGCCCACGCTGCAGCGGGAGCACGATTCGGAACGATTCGGGAGCAGAAATGAGGCCGGCGCCTCAGCGAGAGCAGCATTTTGACAAAAAAAAAAAAAAAAAAAAAAAAAAACAAGCGAAAACCCGTTTCCCGGGAACCCTGTGTGTAACAAAACAATACGCGGGGGGGTGTCGAATATCTTCGGGTCGCCATCAGGGGAAGTGGGAGAGTATTTTCATAGTGTGTAATTGTAAAAGGAAGGGAGGAGGGAGAACCGACGATGAAAACCAGAATGGTTTTGTGTGGTTGCGAAGTACGCGTGGCTGACAACAAGGTTAAGACAGACCCAACGCAATCATCCATGGTATAACCAACCCGGTCAAATCTGGAGATCCGAAGTCTGCGCCAGCCTCCACCCCCGCCATGCGCTCGAGCGTGTCTATGTTCTGGGTGTAGCAGCGCCGGAGCACACGCTTCTCCTAGCACGGGGCACAAATGGAGAACCAGGCCAGACGAAATTCGCCGATCCGGCGCGTGAGCGTCTTAGAGCGTGGACTTGAGCTCGCTCAAGCTTCGCTCTGCAAGGGGGGAGGACGCCATTCCCGACGCCATTCCCGTCGCATTTACTGTTTGGGGCGGAGGGGCCCACACCATTAAGGAGGGAGGGGGGGGGGGGGGGGGAACGCCAATCCCGACTCATTTAGTGCTCGGGGGCGAGGGGGCCCACACCATCAAGGGGGGAGGGGGGGGGCGACGGTCCCGCCGCATTTACTGTTCGGGGGCGGGCCCGACGTCGTTCCGACGCTCTAACCATGGAGGGGGAGGGGGCCGACGCCCTTCTAAACGCCGTTCCCGACGCATGTCGTGCTCGCAAGACGCCTCCAAGACGCCCCAGTAGGTATCCAACCACCTGCGAAGAGAGACCCACGAAGTCCAAATTGTCCAATTTCTATGGGGAAACGCAGATTCTTACCTTATGCGTCATTTCGGCCTTCACGACGTTGCCGGCGGTCCCAGAGGCCCCCGAGACCGCGTCAAGAGGGCTCAATAGGCTCCCAAGACGACCTCAAAACGGCCCAAGAGGGCGCCAAAACGGCCCTAGAAGCGCCCAAGGCGGCCCAAGACGGCCCAAGAGGGCTCCAAGACGGCCCCAGGAGAGGCCCAAGAAGTGGAGATCGAGCCGAAATCCCAGCCTTTCCCCTTACGAGGTTCTCAAGAGGCCACAAGAAGCCCCCAAAAGGTCCCAACAGGCCCCCAAGAAGCCCCCAGGAAGCCCCAGAAGGCCCCGAAGAGGCCCGAAAGAAGCCCCAAGAGGCCCCAAAACGAGCCCCAAGAGGCTTCCCCAGGTCCCTTGCTCAATCCCCTGAGCCTCAATCCTCGAGCCTGAGGATTCTTAATGGGCCCGGCATCATCCGCAGAGCCTCAGTCCTCATCCCCTCACCTCCTCCTTTCTCCCTACTCTCTCTTCCCCTCTACCTCTTGCCTCCTCCTTCCTCCCTCCTCCCTCGTCCTCCCTCCTCCATCCTCTTCCTCCCTCCTCCCAAAAACCAAAAACAGCCCCAGGACGCATCATATGATGGTTTACCTTCTCCTGTTCATCAATTTCATGTCGTCCGCATCCCCACCACCATCACTAAGGTCAACGTCATCATCATCATCATCATCATCATCATCATCATCATCATCATCAGCAGCAGCAGCAGCAACATCATCATCACCATCATCATCGTGATCATGATCATGGTCATGGTCATCATCCTCATCATCAGCAGCATCATCATCCGTCATCACCATCATCCATCGTCATCATCAACATCACCATCAACAGCAGCAGCAACGTCACCATCACTCTCGCCATCCTCACCAACTGCACCACCCTTAGTACGCTGAGAATTCACAACAGCAACATCATCATCACCACCGTCATCATTATCAACATCATTGTGGGCAACCCGCTATCATCACCACAATCACCATCGCCAACATCACGATCCTGATTCTCGTCGCCGTCATCACCATCTTCATGCTCTTCACCATGGCCATTACAATGATAAACATCATCATCATCAACATTAACATCATCATCATCATCAACATCATCATCATAATCATCATTATCAGGAACGCCCCGGATCGGCACTGGCCGGAGGCCAGCACAATACCCCGAAACGTTGAGAGGCAACTCCTGAGAGGTCTTCCCCAGAAGGATTCAGGACAATTGAGGCAACTTCAAATGCTACTGAACTGGATGAAATCGAAAAAGGGAATTCAACGAACTGGATGACGCCGGACATGCAAGCGCCGATTCTGAATTGAAACTCCCTGGAGTTGCACGCTAACAAAAACGCATGACGGTGATCTGCTGGACCATCTCAGGGCACGATACACCGTGCCGCCGGCATGGAGAGGAAAAACTGCAGGTACCCTCAGCAGAATCATCATCATCATCATCATCATCATCATCATCATCATCATCATCATCAGAATCATCATCATAATCATCATCATTATCATCATCAGCATCATCAGCATCATCATCATCAGCAGCATCAGCATCAGCATCAACATCGGCATCATCATCGGTATCCGTATCAGCAACAGCATCATAATGGACATCATCAACACCACCACCACCACCATCACCACCATAACCATCATCATCATCACGACCACCACCACCATCATCATTATCATCACCAGTATCATCCTCATCAGCATCATCATCGTCAACATCAGCATTAACATCAGCATCAGCATCAACATCAACATCGTCATCATATTCAGCATCAGCATCAGCATCACCATCACCATCCTCATCCTCACCCTCATCCGCATCCTCATCCTCATCCTCATCCTCATCCTCGTCCTCAACCTCATCATCATCTGCCCATGCAAGCACTTTCACACGCTTCGTGGCCCCGTAGGGAGCTCCACTGAGTGCCTGCGTGGCGCAACTTGCATGTGGGCGTCACGCCTGCTTCGGCACAGGATTCTCACTTCGTGGCCCTATTGGGAACTCCACGTGAGGCCCCTGTGGCGCAGGTCGCATGTGGGCATCACAGCCACTTCAACACACCCCCGCACGTTTCGTGGACCCATGGGAAGCTCAGCCGAGTGCCTCCGTGGTGCAGTTCGCATGTGGGCGTCACGGCTCGTTGTTTCAGTACATCCCTCACACTTCTCGTGGCCCCATAGAGAGCTCCTCGGAAGGCCCCAGAGGAAACGTTGGCATGTGGGCGTCACGCCCGTTTCCGCACACCATTGACGCGGTTCGTGGCCCCACAGGGGGCTCCACCGAACGCCCCACAGGGGGCTCCTCACATGGTTCGTTGTCCTAGAGTGAGCTCCACCGAGTGCCTCCGTGGCGCAGTTCGCATGCGGATCCCCACCCTTTTGTTGGCTCTCCAGCCTCTTGTGGTGTTGGGCCCTCGCTTTGAAGAGACAACACCCCGCGTTTCCCCTCCTCCGCTGCTCTCCCCCCCCTCCTTCCGTCCTGGACTCTGCCCTTCGCATGTCAATCATATCGGCACACCCCTCACGCGCTTCGTGGCCCTATGGAGAGCTCACCCGACGGCCCCAGAGCGAGCGTTCGCATGTGGGCGTCGTTCCCTTTCGGAACACCACTCGAGCGTTCCGTGGCCCGACAGGGAGCTCCACCGAAGGCTCCAGAGGGAACGTTCGAATGTGGGCGTCACGCCAGCTGAGGCACACCACACATGCGTCCCGGGTTCCGTAACCCCACGAAGACCTCCTCCGAAGGCCCCAGAGGGAGCTTCCGCATGTAGGCGTCACGCCTCATTGTGCACACCACGCACGCGCTTCCTGGCCCCACAGGGAGCTTCACCGAAGGCCCCAGAGGGAGCGTTCGCATGTGGGCGTCACGCCCGTTTCAGCATACCACTCACACGCTTCGTGGCCCCACATGGAGTTCCACCGGAGGCCACAGATGGAGTTCGTCTCGCACGTTTCGGTACACGTCTCACGCGTTCCGTGGCCCCAAAAGGGGCTCCACCCAAGGCCTTAGAGCGAGAGTTTACGTCCGGCACACCGTTCACAATTTTGTGGATTTATAGGGAGCTCCAAATAAGGCAGACCCCAGAGGGACTGTTTGCATGTGGGAGTCACGCCAGTTTCGGCACACCCATCAAGCGCCCCGTGGTTCCATATCAAAGGAAGTTCCACCAAAGGCCCCAGACGGAGCGTTCGCACGTGGGCGTCACGCCCGTTTCGGCACACACCGCACACGCTTTGTGGCCCCGTAGGGCGCTCCGGCCACAGAGAAAGCGTTCTCATGTGGGCGTCACGCTTGTTCGGGTACACCCCTCACGCGATTTGTGGACCCTCAGGGGGCTCCACCGAGCGCCCCCCTTGTGGCCTAGTTCGCGTGCGGGCCTCACGCCCATTCTGACACACTTCTCATATGTTCCGTGGCCACATAGGGAGCTCATCCGAAGACCCCAGAGGTGGCGTTCGCATGTGGGCGTCACGCCCGTTTCGGCACACCCTTTACGCGCTCCATGGCGACAATGGTAATGGTCAAAGTATTGCTAATGATAACGGCAATGCTAATGAGAATAATTATGATGCTGATGGTGCTGCTGCTGATTATGCTGATGGTGATAATAATAATAATAATAATCATCATCATAATAATAATAATATTATTATTAATAACAATAATAATAATAGCGAGACTGGTGATGCTCATGATGATGATGATGATGATGATGCTGATGATGATGATGATGATCATCATCATGAGAGGAGGGAGGAGGGGGGGATGAGTGAGTGGGAAACGGGGCGCGCTGTCTTCAAAACGAGGACTCACCTATTCTGAATGTTTGGGGGATATTAAGATACCCACCGCGCGAACGATGTGCACTTGCCACAGCACGAACACGGTAAATGTGACGAGAAATGGCATACCATCGTGACCAAATCGCTCATCACTGAGCGGCTCTTCTCCAAACCATCCAGCAGCCCCGCTACTCTATATAGTCCACCAGCTCCCGTACTCGTCCCGATGATGCACGAAACCATAAGAACCAGACAAAGAGTCAACTTGCTGTGATATAAATCAAAGTGACATCCCTTCCAAACGGGGGGTGGCCAGTCAGGCAGAAAGAATTAAAGTTCCACACCAAATAAGCCGAATCATCCTTCCGGTTCAGGCTGTGCCGGCAACGGCAAGCGACCACACCGTGACCTCTGCAACATGGCACTGGTACCGACATTATATAAACATGTCGCAACATGCATGGCGTACAGACACACAACTCGGGCGCAAAAAATCAAGCAACAATGGTGCCTGCAAGAGTCGCAAGAACGCGTGCGCCGAAGTTGGCGCGTACTTGCCCGGGTAGATTTCGCGGGCGAGGTGGAAGAAGGGCAACGGATCCTCTGCCAGGGATCGAGGAGGGGGACGACGACGAGGAGTACGAGAGATCAGAGGCCCGCGCGGATTTCTGGAATCGGCGCTGACCCCGCCCGCGCGCCAGGGGCGGCGCCAAAGGCGCCGCCAGAGATGCCCAGCGCCGATCCAAGAAATCCGCGCGGTGCTCCGAGAGGTCGTGTTCATGCAATTGTTTCTTCTTCGGGCCAGTGAAGAGCCAAGGTCCGAATGCATACTGCTCCTCCTCCTCCTCCTTGCGCCGACGCCTCCCCTAGTGGGACGACATCTGAACGTACCCACCGCCGCTTGCCAAGCCCGTAGAGGAGCGGTGCAGATGCCCCCCCCCACGAGGAGAAGGAGGAGGAGGAGGAGAAGGAGGAGGGGGAGGAGGAGGAGGAGGGGGAGGAGAAGGAGGAGGAGGAGGAGGAGGGAGGGGGCGCGTACGCCGCCCCATGGGCTCATCCATACAGATCCAGTCGCCCCGCCCCCCTCTTCACGCCCGCTGGTCATCGCCCCCGTCGGCCGCACCACGGCGCAGCGCGCGAGCGAACTCGCAACAGAAAAGAGCGCTCCGGCGGGTGCGCGCAGGCTCCTCCTCCTCCTCCTCCTCCACCTCCTCCTCCTCGTCTTCCTCGTCCTCGTCTTCCTCCTCGTCCTCCTCGTCCTCCTCGTCCTCCTCGTCCTCCTCCTCCTCCTCCTCCTCCTCCTCCTCCTCCTCCTCCTCCTCCCTCGCGGAGGCACGCGCCCGAGGCTCGCTGGACCGCTGCCGCTCGCGCCCCCTGCAGCGAAGCCGAGACGCTCTCGGAGGCGTTTTGCTCGGGGCCCTTCGCTGGGCGGCCACGGCCGGCGGCGCCCCCGGAAGCGGCAGGGCAATTGTTTCACCGCTTCCGAAAAAAACTGTCCCTTGCAAATGTTGTGGATGCCACGGCAGTGGGCACCCTAACAGTCCTATCATCGAACTAAATATGTGTCTAAAATGTAAGAAATTGCCCTGACAATGTTTAAAATATGCGTTTGACATGTCAAAAAATTTAACACATGTTCTAGCCATCTGGGAATTATTCGGCAACATGCTTCCTCTCCATTGATCGTCCGCCACAATGCAAATGGGATAGGAGGAGGAGGAAGCTGAGGAGGAGGAGGAGGAGGAGGAGGAGGAGGAGAAGGAGGAGGAGGA